CATAACTATGCACTTACTTAGTTTATTTGATACCTAGGAGCAGAGAAGATTTTCAAAGAATTCATGTATTTTAACTTTATAATCAATAAAGCACCCCCCCCCCCCACCAGAACCATTGACGCTGGGGCCATAAAATTCACAATTTTTGTAGAGGCACTCTTGCTCATCATAACTATGCACTTAGTTAGTTTATTTATTACCTAGGAGCAGAGAAGAAGATTTTCAAAGAATTCATAATTCATGTATTTTCACCATATGATCAATAGAGCCCCCCCCCCAACACCAGAACCCTTGACCCTGGGGCCATAAAATTCACAATTTCGGTTGAGGCACTCTTGCTCATCATCACTATGCACTTACATGTAGTTAATTTATTTAATACCTAGGAGGAGAGAAGAAGATTTTCAAATAATTCATGTAATTTCACTATATAATCAATAGAGCCCCCCCCCCCCCCCCCCCAACACCAGAACCCTTGATGATAGGGCCATTAAATTCACAATTTTGGTTGAGGCACACTTGCTCATCATAACTATGCACTTAGTTAGTTTATATAATACCTAGGAGCAGAGAAGATTTTCAAGGAATTCACATATTTTCACTATGTAATTAATAGAGCCCCCCCACACACACACACCAGAACCCCTGACCCTCGGGCCATTAAATTCACAATCTTGGTTGAGGAACACTTGCTTATCATAACTATGTACTTAGTTAGTTTATTTAATACCTAGGAGCAGAGAAGAAGATTTTCAAAGAATTCATGTAATTTCACTATATAATCAATAGAGACCCCCCCCCCACACCAGAACCCTTGATCCTGGGGCCATAAAATTTACAATTTTGGTAGACGCACTCTTGCTCATCATAACTATTTACTTACTGGGTTTATTTAACGTAGTTCGCGGGTTTGCTGACGTCATTAAAACGGGGTACGCAATTTATATGATTTGGGCGACTTTTTTGTGCACATCTGATTTAACGTCACACAGAGAAATGGAAAAACTCGGTACATTATCTAGCTATAAATTTTGTTGAAATTGGTAGTTTTGTGTAACAGTATTCATAGAACCTGCTGAAGTAATAAAAAGCAAGGAAGGCTTATTTCTATTCGAATGACCAACACTGAAAGTATTAGAAAGCGTTTCATTATGTGTTATCAATCGCATCTTCTCGGGTTTATTCTGAGAGCACATGCACTTGTTTCGGAAATAAATTTTAACCCTTAGTATAATTATAACACAGGGTATCTTACTCCGAATTACACTCAGTGCCCCCTCCTCAGAAATACCCTCATTTACACTTTCAGAGGAAATGCACTGAAAAACTGTTTATTACCATTGTCTTCTACGATAATTTATCTACACAACCATATATGGCACGCATGTGTTTGTTTTCTTTAATTATCTCCGCAAACAGCGTCAAAACTCTCTCGCCGAGGAAAGTCCAACTCATTTATGAAAGGGTATGTGCTAATCTCGGACAAAGAGCAAAATTAAAAAAATGAATGGGTTTAAAAATTCCATATTTTGAAAATTGCATTGAATAAGTAAAATTTGATCAAGTCTTATTTTCCATATAAACACTATGTAGTTTTCCCCATGTAATTTTAGATAGAGATTTTTAGCCAATCGAATTCGGGATCAATTAAATTCTTTGCCCTATTCAAATTAAAAGTTCATAATAATAATAATTCATTATATTTTAAACATCGCAGATGAACCGGTACATTAAAAGTTTAACCTTTATTTTTAAAAAGAGTATTTGAAAAATATATATACTAGTAAACAGGTTGGTCACAAATTAAAAACTGCTAAGGTACTAATACTAATGAAACATAAACTAATACATTTTTTGAGCGGCATTGACCTCTTGTAAATGACCATAGGCACGTAGGATATGACCCCCTTCCTCCTTTCCAATTTTTTGCCTTGCTAAAGCAGGAGATAAGTAAACTTTTTTCTATTTTTGTAATTTAACTTCATCCTATATGCGCCATTATGCGGTTGATTTAATCGAAATATTTGCAAATCGGAGGCACATAAAAATTTAAATGGAAATCTTGGAAATCTTAAAAGGAAGGAGAATGTGTTTCAAATTTATTTATGTCTGTATATTCCATGATTTCGTACGCTTTAGATAGTGATCAAGCGACGAAATACATGAATTTAAAAACAGCGTAAAGAGTTTTTGTTGTTTTTTACGCTGTAAAAAGAAAAGCGTAAAGAGAAAGAAAAGAAAAAAACAGCATAAAAAGAGAAAAAGGTAACATTATTAATAACATGCAAAACGTATTAAAAATCCAAAATAGGAAAAAACCCAGAAAAACTGAAAGGGGGGGGGGGGTTCGACACCCCAATTGCCTGTGTAAGTAACAGCAAACGTTGTAAGTTACATGTACAAATCTTATTCGATACGTTGCGTTCTATGTTCATTCAGTAGAATTAATGTTATATATATTGAAAGGCTAATAAAAAAAATCTGCCTGTTGATTACGCCAAAGAAAATGAATGTTTAGATTCTCGTCCCATTTACTCATCTAAAAATTCCTCATACGTACATGAATAAGCATAAAAGAAAAACCAAGTTAAGATTTATTTTAGTTAATCGCTGCCTCTATGTAAACTTAAATAAAAATATTTTCAATATATACTCTGAATGCATTAATACATGTATTTATACCCGTGACGATGTTTGGCAGAAATTCATTCATACGAAGTTATCGTTGATTTGAGTGCCTTACGGAATTTTCTAAAAAAAAAAAAATATAAGCAAAACGTAAAAACATATTTCGGGGGATGCGGACAGTGTTAGTCATTGACTTCTAAAGTATCTTCATACCTACGACTTTTTCAGACAAACTTATCACTGATCTGCGATTTCAACCGGGGGGGGGGGGGGGGGGTCTGCCTCTTCCAGAAGGGAATTCAAGGTCACTTTTATTCTGCAATTCCGGCGAGAATCCGTGTATGAAGAATTCAAAACAAAAAGAAAAGAAACGGTAAGAAATCAACACATAAAGAAAATATATATAAAAAAGAAAAGAAACTGAAGGAATGATTGTTGGTTTTCGCCTTTTGCTAGGATTTTCACTAATATATAAGACGTTAAGAGAAAAATGTCTAATAATTGGTTTTTTTTTTTTTGGGTTTAATTATTATGATGTTGGTCATTTGAAAGCAGATAGGTGTGAATTTCCTTTTAAAAAAAAAATCAATGTACTTTGATTTTTTTTTCTCTCTATTTACCGGATCGATATTCACGACGTCTTGAGCGTGACCTCGCGATATTTTTTGACGTCGTAATTAAAAAAATGCTACATTTTTCAACATAAAAGCAATCATTTACAATTAAATAACGAAAATGAACCCAAAGACTTATTAATTTTTTCACATAGATTTATTGCAAATCAAATTTAGTTTAAAACACCAACGGATAAAGAAATTCGTCTGCATAATTTAAAAGTTAATGATATTTTTTAAATCAAAACCTTGCACGAAAACAAGCCCAAAACGACGTTTTTCTTATACAATTCAATAGAATAATGTCGAAAATGTTACTACAACAATGACATCTTTGGAATTCAATTACACAAAAACGGTGCAGACGATTTTTATAAAATTTTCAGAGAATGGAATTCAAAGGTAGAGATATCATATAGGTAATTTTCATAGTATGTTTTCGGGCACTTTTAAAAGCCCTGCAAACCCGCGACCTACGTTAATACCAAGGGGCAGAGAAGAAGATTTTCAAAGAAATCATGTATTTTTACTATACAATCAATAGAGCCCCACCCTAACACGAGAACCCCTGACCCTGGGGCCATGAAATTCACAATTTTGGTAGAGGCACTCTTGCTCATCATAACTATGTACTTAGTTGGTTTATTAAATACCCAGGAGCCGAGAAGAAGATTTTCAAAGAAATAATGCATTTTCACTACATACTTATTTAGCCCCGCCCTAGTACTAGAACCCCTGACCCCAGGGCCATGAATTTCACAATTTTGGTAGACGACTCAATGCTGATTACAATCATGCAAATAGTTTGACTGCTTGATGTCCAGGAGTAAAGAAGAAGATTTTTAAAGATTGCATTAATTTTAGTGGGTTTGGCCCCACCCCTCAGGCCCCAGGGGGGCAGGGATCATGAAATTCACAATTTTTGTTCCCCTTTACCCATAGATGCTTTGTGCCAAATTTGGTTGAAATTGGTTCAGTGGTTGCAGAGAAGAAGCTGAAAATGTTCAAATGTTAACATACGACACACGACGGATGACGACGGACGAAAACGGATAGCAAAAACCTTAACCTTCGTGACTAGTTATATTTATATGGAAGCATCCTCGGATGGTGAATATTCAAATTTGATCAAATGAAGACTCCCAGGGGTAGGCCACAACGGACGATCAAGGTTTTACATAGAGTGTATAGGGAAAATCTTTAAAATCTTCTCAAAAACAGCAAAACCATGAATAGTCTTAATTCTGTGGAAGCATCCACACGTGGTGAAGATTAAGGTTTTTTCCCCAAATCATAGACAATGTGAGTAGGGTGGGACCACAATGATCTCAAAAATGTTCATCGAAATCAAAAACCGATACATAGAAATATGTATCTTTGAGTAGTCTACTTGTGTGCTAACGTATATTTCAATCAGACCAAAACTGTAGGAGGAGTAGGATTCAGAAGTTTTTCACAGAAATTTCTATTTTTATAAAATACAGCAACACTGTTCATCGAAATCAAAAACAGGCGTACGGAATTATGGATCTTGTGTAGTCTACTTATGTAACAAGTTGTATTGAAATCAGACCAAAACTGTAGAAGGAGTAGCATTTTTAACGTATTTCACAGAAATTTCTATTTTTTATAACCATGGCAACACTGTTCATCGAAATCAAAAACCCAACGGTGAAGAATACCGTGGAACGGACTACATACATGAATATTTAGAATTTTTATTTCATTACATGTTGATTTTCATGTCTTCTGCTTCAGAATCATCGAAAAAGAGAAACCAACATATATTTGATGTCGTATGAAGAGGCGATGTCCATATGTGTGGAAGCATTCCAAGCATCTGATTCTTATTTGATGTGTCAAGAACACGTCAGTGGTCTAGGGAACACATCACTGGTGAACTGCATTGCGGATCTTATGGTAAGTTTATAGCCGTGAATAATTGCAATAACTCTGAGATAGTCTGTATATCATATGTGATATATTCAATGGTTCCATGTCCATTTTTAGATCAGGTCACCTGATTATTGCTATGTACTGTCGTCGTCGTCCATCGTCCGTAGTGTGTTTACATTTGAACATAGTTTACAGCTTCTTCTTTGCAGCCTCTAAAACAATTTCAACCAATATAAACAGAAAGCATCTATCGGAGAAGCGAAACAAAAATTATGAATTTCATAGTCCCTGCCCCAATGGAGGGGCAGGACCAAAACCACTAAAATTAATGCAATCTTTAGAAATCGTCTTCTTTACGCCTTGACGTCAAGTTGTGAGACTGTTGGCATAATTGTAATCAGCATTGAGTCCTCTACCATAATTGTGGAATTCATGGCCCCAGGGTTAGGAGTTCTATTGCTAGGGTAGGGCTTTTTAGATTATTTAGTGATAATGCTTTATTTCTTTTGAAATATACTTCTCTGCACCTGAACATTAAATATTGATTGATTGATTATATATTGTTTAATGTCCTACTCAGAATTTTAAACTTTAAAATAGTAAGACGTCACCGTTTGTCGGTGAAAGGCTTCAGATTTACCTATACTCGGCACTCGGGGCCATCGAAAAGGGAGGGTTCTTTATCGAACCAACGCCTACCGTGACACGGGACCTCTGTTTTTAAGGTCATATCCGAAAGACCAGTGACTTTCAATTTAAAGCTATATATGGCGTATCTGAGGTAAAAAATAAAAATACGAAATTAAGTAAATTGAGATTTACACGATATTTGTTATTTACATTCAAATTTAATTTTTTTTTCTATCCTGAACTTAAGGAGGCTCATTACACCACTTTTTGAACTTTAATATCCCCTCGTTTCTATTACTTAAATTGACTTTAAACTATGTGCATGAAATATTTATTTCCGCCATGTCGGAAATAATTTGGTTATTGTTTTAAATTCTGCGATAACTTTAAAACGCAACTGATTTAAATTGTGTAGTTTACTGGAAAGTCTTCTCCTTATATAAAATAACAAAACAAATAGAACGATTTTTTTAATTTTAACACATTTTTAAAAGTCAGAACTTGTCTAGGAGAAAATTATTTTTTCTAACCCACTGTGTGGCCTCATTTGACACTGAAAGTTCTGAAATTCACTCTTAAAACTAGACTACCATGACCATTATAAGTGGTGCTGGGCATTAAATAAACTAACCCAAGAACCTAGTTATGTTATGTTAAGTAAGGTTGCCTCTTTATATTAACAAAACAAATAGAACGATCTTTTTAATTTTTAGTCAGAAATTAACCAATGTTATGTTAAATAAGGTTGCCTCTTCCAAAATTGTGAATTTCATGGCCCCAAGGTCAGGGTTACTAGTGTTAGGGCGGGGCTCTATTGATTATAAAGAACAAATGAATAAATTCTTTGAAAATCTTCTATGCTCCAGGGTATTAAATTAACCAACCAAATACATAGTCATGTTAAATAAGGCTGCCTTTTCCAAAATTGTGAATTTCAGGAACCCTGGGTCAGGGGCGGGGTTCTATTGATTACATTGTAAAAATGCATATATTGTTCTAAAAATCATCTTATGTGCTCCTGGGCATTAAATAAACTAACAAAGAACATAGTTATGTTGAATAGGGCTGTCTCTTTCAAAATTGTGAATTTTATGGCTCCTGGGCAGAGTTCTGGTATTCGAGCTGGGTTCTGTTGATTTTGTAGTGAAAATGCATAAATCCTTTAAAAATCTTCCGGTCTTCTCCTGGATATTAAACCACTGAAGTACTATTTGGTTAAGATAAGGAAGGATGCTTCTTTTCAATTTGTGAATTTTAGGGCCCCTGGATCAGGGGTTCTCTTGTTAGGTCGGAGGTCTTATGTTTATGTAGTGAAAATGCATGTTTTCTTTGGAAATCCTTTCCTTCGCTCCTGGATATTACAATGTATGTCACTGATCTGAGTACATATTTATGATGAGAAATTCAGGGTTCTCCCTCGTTTAAAATTTAACTGGTTGTAGAGTTTACGCGCAGCAGTAAAATGTTCCTCTTCCAGAAAAATCAATTTCCAGGTCCCCTTGGTCAGGGGTACCAGAGGTTGGGGATGTACTTAGTCTGAAAATAAATCAATGCTTTGATATTTGATTTTTTGGCATTAATCAAACATTTATGATGAAATAAAATTTTTGATAAAAATTTATTTTTTTTAAAATATTTGGCCCCTGGACAGGGTTAGTGGTTTCTGTAAGACGGGGTGGACAATTGGTGGTTAAAACGTGAAAATGCATTTTCTCCTTGTTACTCTGATCTACCTCTGGGTATTAAGTTACCAAAGTAAGCATGTTAAGTGTATAATTATAATTTAAAAAAAAAATTGTGCTTCTTTCAAAATTGTGAATTTTATGGATTTAATTGGTTTAAAGAACAGGTTCCAATTAAAGAATGCGAACGAATATCAATTGCTGGGAAGTTGTTACATGATACTCATGTGACCTATTAGGCTCGTGGGCCTCTTGTATTTTATAGGGAATATGCTTATATATTCATAAATACTTGAAAAACTGCTTCTGAAAAGAACTTGGAAGAATTCTCATAACCATTTTTATCAAATGAAAAGAATGCTACTAAGTCATGGCAGAAGCTCAAGTGGCCTAAAGCCTCGATTTTTTAAATATAATTATATGACAAGTTTGGCTTTCCAGAAAGCCTGAAATGTCATCTCTTTGGTATCAAAAATGTCAAAGAAATAAAACAGAAAGGGAAATAGTTTAATGCAATGAATATGTGGATTATTATACCTGAAGTTCCCGGATGACTTATACTAAGCTGACAGATATTTGAACATAAGCAAGAGCAGTCCAAAGATTATTCCTACCCACGTAGCTTAAGTATTTAAACCTTTCGAAAGAAGCCACCTATACCTACGTTTTGTTCACTTTTATTAAAAATGAGGAGCAGGGTGCCATGCAGTGATCAGTGGCGTAGCATCGATTTTGAAAGTGGGGGGCCAGCCAGAGAAAAAAAAATTACTTACCTTCGACAAGCAAAAAAAAAAAAAAGGGAAAAAAATCGCCCAAAGTGCAAAATCCTATTTCGGGGGGGGGGGGGGGGGGGGAAAGCTTTTTTTCAGTGTCAACTACTTTTAGTAAATACTACATTTTCGGTACATCACTGAAGTGAGGGGGGCTATAGTATAAGTAAGGTTGGGTGAAAAAACTGTGGGGGGGGGGGAATGGCATTGCTACTGGTAAGATTTGTGATTTAACTATAGATACTACTACAAATCTATATATAGAAATCACGTCATTGTCAGTTCTTATTGTGTGGCTTACCAATTTCATAAGGCATAGTATTGAGGATCAATATATATACGACTCACCAAAACTTTAGATATTTATAAGCATAATACTTCTTTTCTAAAATTTCCTTGACTTTCAAGGCAAATAGGCCTAAACCGAAGGTATATCACACACTTCTAAGCTAGTTTTTCTAGGTGTGAAAACCAGTTTACAGGCTACTTGGAACTCCTTGTGTAGATTCTCACTTGAGATATTGTAAAACATCGAGGATTCCCGAAAAATTAATGGTGGCTTACACTAGGACTTTACTTCCGGCATACAATCTTAATGTGTCATCTCCCGAGGGAGATGACAATTAGTAAACTGCCGCAGAATAGTCTTTATGCTATTTGCCTACAGTGAAATGATCATCAATTATTCAAGGGTCGCATTCCGTTTTCCACAATCGATCTTCAAATCGGAACTCCTGGTTTTTCATTTTTGCAAAGAGAATGACGTAACCAATGTCAATTTTCAGTCAATTGCTCTTGCAAAGTTGCAAGTTTAAATGCTTCTTTACATTCGTTATTAGTATAAACTAGTAGAGATACAGTCTTGTCAGTCTTATCGGAGACCACTGGAAAAATATTTTAACACTTTATAGTTCATTTTTTTAAGATGACTGAAGACTTAAACATCACAAAGATTCATGTAGAAGCAGCATTAGTGCAGTGTTCCACGTTTGTTGTTTTAAACAGTACTTTTCAAGAAGTAAAACCGGATATAACATACAGAATTAAGAGTATCTGTGAAAATAACTGTAGCGGGAATGGCATATGCAATTCTGGTAAGATTTGTTTTTATTAGAGTGTTCGAAGGAACAATTGTGTCGCCTGCTTTTAGTGTCTTTATATATGTAACTAAATTTAAAAGGTTTTTATCATCTCATCAAAAAATTTGTTTATACATAATAATCCTACATACTAGTATAAAATTTTTCCATCTTATTTACACGTAAACAGTAGTAATTAGGTGTGAAAACGGCCGTATTCCAAGGCCTTCGCAATCATAATCTCCACTAATAAGATAGTGGTCATCTGGTACTATACGTCATAGATGTCAATTCTGAAACAGCTGATCGTAAGGATTAAGAGATCAAACAGATTTTAAAGATAAATAAAAACAAGTCTACATCATGGAAGACAGAAGTTACGACATTGACGACATTCCCTTGGTTATGGACGTTCAACCCTACATGTTTGAACTTACATTTTGGACCCCCCGGCAAATAGGATTAATACAGAAAATTCGGCGACAAGCAGCTTTTGCGAGGAGAGCGACGACGAAGCCCGTGGCAACCCAGGGCACCGGCTGAATGGAACTTTCTGGTGCGTTAAATCTTAGTAATTTAAATGTTGTAAAGTCTATTGATTAAAAAAAACGTAAATTAATTTATCTATTTTGTCTCCATAGTACGAAATTACCGCGAACGAAAACGTCAGTTCATTATAACCGGACGCCATTATAAACTATAATTCTATGCGAGCTCTGAGATATTGTTGTTTCTGACAATGCTATTTAACTCATAATATTTATTTCTATAATTAAAAATAATTGATTTTAAAATGCAGGTGTGACTATGGACCTTGCGAGGTGATGAAAACTACAGTAGAGTATATTTGTTACACAGAGATTTCAGCTGTTGACCAAATTAGAAATTCCTTTAAAGCTGAACACTACTCGTAAATTATAGGCATAGTCCGCCATATATCTCGTTCTTCAACGCTCTCCTTACAACTCGTATATAACAGGTCCAGCACAATCTCTTGATTAATTTATATAGCTTTAAAAAGCTATATAGCTTTATTAAGCTATTCAAAATAGCTTGATAAAGCTATTTATATATGCAGTTTTTCACAAAAACGTTTTCTGAAAGAAATAAACAAAAAGTCGCAAATATTTGACTATGCATATATGTACTATGAACTATCAAAAATACAACCTAAATCATAGAAAGTTCTAACATTGCTGCTGTTGAATACTTTTAAGCAAAATATGAATTCCCATTGTTTGAGTAACTGTGTGTGCGGTGAGGCGTGGGTAAGTATGATTGCTTCTCATTGTGTTGAACTGTTACTAATCAATTATCCTGTTGGCTATAACTGGCCTCCTTTATAATTTCATTCAAGAAATAACTGTGTGGTCACTCATCAATAACCCCAAAACCTTTAAAACTTTGAGTACAAAGTCTCTCAAGGAGACGCAATTTAGTGAGTGATTTTTACATGCATTGTTTTCAGAAGAGTACAAAGTTTAATATTTCAACTGCATCAAGGTGCGACTTTTTGCACATGTTGAAAAAATAACAGATTTGAAAAAAAAGTCTGAGAAAATAGCTTAATCAAGCTATTCTGAATAGCTTAATAAAGCCATATAGCTAAATCAAGCTATATAGCTTAATCAAGAGATTGTGGCGGACCTGTATAAGGAGCAGATCGCTAGTCAGTTCAATGTATTTTACTATAGAGATCCGACGAGTGCAGACGTACATCTAACAAAGCGTGCTACTCAATATCGATGAAATTATCAAATTTTACGTATTTTTTCCAAAACAGGACAAAAGTATCATGGAAAATACAGGTCAATACATTATTTACAAACAGAAAGTACACATAAAAACAAGAAATAAACGCAAAAGAATCTAATACCACGATAGGACTACTACATGTCGGCCACGAGTTTCGAGTGTGCAATCGGGTGTAACGAAAGCGAACGGTTTATATACCCGTCTGACAGTGCCTATTACAGTGTAATCAGGTCCGGCACAATCTCTTGATTAAGCTATATAGCTTTATTCAGATTCTGATGTCAGGGACTGTGGGCGGTAACCTAGGAATCTGTGAGCATCATCAGTGGACTGTGTGTATGTAGGATGTTGTTTTTGCCACTCACAACGATTCAATCTGAGGACAACTACATAGTCTACAAATAAGACATTAAGATTTTTTATTCTTGAGTGACATTTAGCATGGATTTATATTCAATAGTGACCTTCATACACTTGATTATTGTTTTATTGTAGAATATGAGTGTCAAGTGACTGTCAAATAAATTTTAAATGTATAAAGAAAAAAATAAACTTGAAAAATTACTTTTTGTTTCATTGACCAATACAAAGACATTAATGAACTCGAGTAAGAAAGCATACCATATGTAACAGCTGTCTTTCTGGGCTTTACAACAGCCAGTGTCTCCTTCTTCCCTTTGTATAGCATATCTGCCATCTGCTTTGTCCTTCCTTGGTTGTAGCTTGGTGACGTTGTCCATTTTCATTGAAATGGAGTGCTGGGAAACAAAGCCTGCAAAACAAAGCAAAAAAAAAAATATTATGCACACATAATAATAAATTAATAAAAACATTTCAAAAGAATTCCTATCATTTATTTAATTTTTGATATTTAATTTAATGTATACTTCTAATCTTTACATAATGTAGTTCCAAATACAGGAAAGTAGTCAATATATATAAATTTCTAGATTTCTTTGAAGAATGGATTATTACATTTTGCCAAATGCCATACATCAAAAAAGTGGTTCTTGCCTTCATGTTCCTCTCTCATATATTTCTTGATCATACCATGTCGGTCGGTGACGAGAAAACAGATTTATCAGATGAAATTCTACGTCAAGTTCTGTTTTTGGTACGAACTTTTTGACATTTAAGTCCCTTGGACGTGGAAAAAATCCCATTTTGGGAAGAGGGCATAAGTTTACAAACATCTCTTGAAATTCTTGATGCACCAGTAAAGTGATACTTCTCCTTTGTTGTAAAATAAAAACAATAACAGCTGGAGTCTCCTCAGACATCTGGTTATCTTTTAGTGTATCATCTCTGCTGATTCATATCCATCATTGCAGGGAACTGTACTTGCAATAGCGGTTACGCAGGAAGTGACTGCTCCGTTGATCTAACTGGGCCTCCGACAATAACACACATCTCGGACTTTGGGTTCTGCGACAAGACTTCTGAAGCATGTGATGAGATAACTTTGTATGGAAGATACTTTTTGGAAAATATGGACACAACTTGCTATCTGAAGAGGAAAACGGTATTTGCTGTGAATGATTTGTAGTAGTGTTTGGAATCGATCAAAGATAAAAAGTATTATAAAATTATTGATATTTATATGCTATCTTGTAACTGAAGATTGTAATTAAGACAAAATTCTTTAGAAAACAGATGTATTTTAGGTAGGAGAAGATGGGTCTGTATTGTCAGAAACAAACTTAGAAATAAGCCTGCAGGAGAGAACGCTGTTTGAGGGATACTGCCCACTTTACTACAATGCCGATTATCACTGGGTAACAGAATTTCGCTTCAATATATCAAACGACGGGAGTCAATTTACAGACAGCTACAACGTCTACACCTATCAATCTCTGTGTCAGGAAATAAAAAATGATACAGGGAATATAACATTTACATTTAAGGTAAAACTCTTACAAAGAAATAATGATTCTAATGCCATCTTAAAAATAATGGGTTTTTAGGATTATTCCGACTCGGAGTAAAAAAATGGGTTGGTAGGAAGATTCATTGTTTTAAAAAGATTCAACAAAGATATTGAAAGGATAAGAATATCCAGGAATCAAAATTTTTTTTTTAATTTCTTCAGCTTTTTTAAAGAGTTTAAAGATGATTGACTTCAAATAGTCGGTCGGGAAAGGGCAAAGAAACATTCTTTTTAAAGTTTATCAAATTTCAAGATGTCCCTCTACGACCAGAAGGGATTAAATCCTTCCAAAACGACCAATACTCGATTTGTTTAAATGCCACATCGATATACTGCTGTACAAACAGAGGTAAGACGGTAGTTCAGTCGGAATAGCGCTCGCTCAAGAAAGTCGAATATCGCCGCTGCGATTGACCTTGGTCGATAAAAATAGGAATCGACTTTTTCATCGCCATGTGCTCGGTACTTTGAAGAGAAAGCTGCGGATCCTTCGGGTGAGACCTTAAAAAACGAGGCCCTTTGTCACGACAGGTCAATGCCTAAAAATCCCTCACTGTTCAATGGCCCTTAGTGCCGAGTAAAGATAATAATTTTAAGCCTTTCACCGGTATATGGTGAAATATCTGTACGAGTAAAAGATTCTCGCATGAATAAACATCAATCAGTCAATCAGAAAGGGTATAAAGTCATTAAAAGTATTACATCGATCTAGGTGTTCCCATTCATTTTTTTGACAGTAAAAATTTAATTGCGCATTGTATTTATAACGAATGATTTATGAAACCTAAGCTTAATATAGCAATCAAAATAGTAATAATTGTATTTAGTAAAAATATCATTGCAATTTTCCGCCATCTTTTTGAGACATGACGCTATGCAATGGGAGTTATAGAGACTTCTTTAAATCTTCTGTTCAATTCCCAGGCCGGGGACATAAATAAAATGTGTTTTAAGACAGATATACTAGCAGATTGAGTAAGACTGTAATGGCACATTCAGCTCATTAATTAATCTTGAACTGGATGTATATCCACTCATTTATCCCAAGTGAAGGTTTTGATTTGCAGTATATATCAGTTGTAGATTCCCGGCATAGGTGTGTATTTAACGTTGCGGGTCGAATCACTGTGGTTTATTAAGACCTATAAAGCGTAAACTGCCCCAAGTTCTTAAAACAAAAGTTGAAATAATCTTCATTCCTTTATTTATTCCTGAGAGACAAAAACGAAAACCTACTTTAAAAAAATAATAATCTTGTAACATGTTATTGTTAGTAATATATATATATATAAGTCTGTTTCAGCTTAGACTTTTTGTTTACACAGATCGAAATAATGAACTGTTTTGTAGGATGGCTATTGCTACATTAACAATACGTGTGTGGCTGATGGGGATTCAAACCCAGACAACCTTTGTGACGTTTGTATTACTGGGAAAAATAAATATCAGTGGACCTATAATACAGGTTCGTGGTCCATCAAGCCTGTTTCTTTTCATAATATATTTACTTAAATGGAAAAAGATAATAAAAAGTTAATATATTATATATTTACAAAACAGGTCACTGTTTCATTGATGGAAATTGTTTTCCGGGCGGAGCAATAAATGGAACAAATCCTTGCAGTGTTTGCAATCCATCACTCAACATAACAGCTTGGTCTTCTAATCCGGGTAGATGTGGAAACTATTAGCATTATTATACTAATTATATTATAATATAATTATTATATTTCCTCTACTGTTATTACTCTATATAAAATTAATGCTATTGCCCTCATCTGATGACTATTCTCTGGATAATCAAAGCTACTCCCTGGGACTACTCCCTAAAAATACTTTTAGTAATTTAACCAATCAAAGTTTTGGGAGGGGCGTTTAAGGAATCTTGGGTCATGTTATTAGCAATGTAACTATGACGTCAAAACATTTCGACATGCGATGTATAAATCGTTCTTGAATTCTAGCAAAATGAAGACAACGATAAATCTTAGTGAATATCAGTGAAAATACTTTTTAAAAATAATTTAATTTGTTTAGGATACGATACATTACTTATCATACATGTAAAATGTGTTAAACCTCATGTATTTGTAATTATGCCTCCACAGTGTTTTTTTCTTAATATCGGAATATCTGGTGAAAATAAAATTAAAGCGCCTATGATTGTTTCGGTATAATAAAACAGTTATGAAATGGGAACTCGGGAAATTTGAAGTTTAATGTTCCCCTCGGCAGAAAACTATATCCCGCGGGATGTATAGTTTCCTCCCTCAGGGAACCATAAATTTGCTATTTCCCTCGTACCCATTCCATTAGAACTATAATAATTGGACCCGTTGAAATCTCGATGAGAACTTTATTTATTTATACATGTATTAATTAACTTGATCATGTTTTAGGGTTTTGTTTTATTGATGGCATCTGCTATTTTGATGACCAAACTAATCCAAGCAATAACTGTGATATTTGTCTTTCGCAAATATCACATAGTACCTGGTCATTCAATGAACGTGAGTATAGTGTACCTTTTTGTGTTGTTTAATATTCATAAGCTTTGTGTAAGCCACTCATTTCCAAAAATGTAAAAATATATATATTTGTATGTATTACTCCATCCTTTAAGAATTGTCATGTATACGTGAAATAAAGGAAAACAGTGAAATGTATTATTAATCCTTACATTTGAACGTTTTGTTAAGGGTATCATTAAAAATCAATTTAAAAAGCCGTGTAACTCCTTTTGATGATGTTTTAACCAAACGATGTTCAAAAACTTCATTTCCAATTTAGTGACGGAATACTGCGCCTTATTAGCTTATAAAATTTTATACTGTAGATTCCTTATTATACGCGAAGAATTAATTTCCGCGTAATTTCGTGTGAAGAAAAACTCACGAAAAAAATAATACTCGCTTTTAATTCTATGGTGCTGAAATCTATGTTAAATCTGTTGATCAACCGTACATTCGCATATTACAATTCTCGCGATTTGACGTTTACGAGCCTGTTCGCGATAAAAAGTACGCGCGAAAAATAAGGAATCTACAGTAATAATTAACATTTAGAATTTTTCAAACACTTAGCATTTTAACCTTAGAATATTGTCTTATTGATGGACTATGTGTAAGAAATGGAGACACAAATACCATAATGGACTGTCAAGTATGCAACACAAGTGTAAATAAAACAAGCTGGCAAGTGAAGAATGGTAAGGATATATATTTTTTCCATTACAGTTTTAAATTCAGATACAAGTAATAGAACGTTATAAGATATATTCTTTAATTAATTTCCAGAAACACTCGGAATGAATTATAATTTGAAGTAAATATTTATATAAAATATTGTTTTGAACATGAAAGAAATGTTGGTTCTTTCAGATTATTGTTTAATTGACTATACTTGTGTTGTGGATGGAGGTGCAAACTCAACATATCCCTGTCATTATTGTAATGTCTCGATAAATCCACGTATTTGGAGCCATAACCCAGGTAATATAAATTTGAAGTTGACTATTTCTTAGGGCTGAAAATGTATGTGTTACTGTAAACTTTATCACTCAAAGGTATATTTCTTCCAAAATACCGTCTTTCATATCTAAAGTCACACAAACACTGATAAACTTTATAAATTCTTAGGTTTGAAATATAAAATCAAAGGCTTATGTAAGAGTATCATTAAAATTCAATTTAAAAATCTGTGTAGTTCTTTTTAGGTCACCTGAGTAAACTCAGGTGACCTATTGCTATCTGTTTTCGTCTGTCGTCGTGCGTCGTGTGTTGTGTGTTGTGTGTTGTGTGTCGTGCGTTAACATTTGAACATTTTCATCTTGTTCTCTGCAACCACTGAACCAATTTCAACCAAATTTGGCAAAAAGCATCTATGGGTGAAGGGGGAACAAAAATTGTGATTTTCATGGTCCCTGCCCCCCTTGGGCATGGGGGGTGGGGCAAAAACCACTAAAATTAATGCAATCTTTAAAAATCTTCTTCTTTACTCCTGGACATCAAGCAGTCAAATTGTTTGCATGACTGTAATCAGCATGGAGTCCTCTACCAAAATTGTGAAATTCATGGCCCCAGGGTCAAGGGTTCTAGTGCTAGGGCGGGGCTAAATAAGTATATAGTGAAAATGCATTATTTCTTTTTAAATCTTCTTCTCTGCTACTGGGTATTAAATAAACCAACTAAGTACATAGTTATGATGAGTAAGTGCTTCTACCAAAAATGTGAATTATATGGCCCCAGGGTTAGGGGTTCTTGTGTTAGGGCGGGGCTCTATAGATTATATAGTGAAAATACATGAATTCTTTGAAAATCTTCTTCTCTGCTCCTGGGTATTAAATAAACTAACTAAGTGCATAGTTATGATGAGCAATAGTGCTTCTACCAAAATTGTGAATTATATGGCCCCAGGGTGAGGGGTTCTGGTGTTAGGGCGGGGCTCTATAGATTATATAGTGAAAATACATTAATTCTTTGAAAATGTTCTTCTCTGCTCCTGGGTATCAAATAAACTAACTAAGTGCATAGTTATGATGAGCAAGAGTGCTTCTTCCAGATTTGTGAATTTTATGGCCCCAGGGTGAGGGGTTCTAGTGATTGGGCGGGGCTCTATTGATTATATAGTGAAAATACAGTAAATCTTTGAAAGTATTCTTCTCTGCTCCTGGGTATTAAGCAGATGAACTACCTATATAGTTATGATGAGCAAAGTTGCTTTTCTTCCAGAATTGTGAATTTCAAGGCCCCAGGGTCAGGGGTACCATAGGGGGGACTATACTTATATATACTGAAACTGGATGAATTGTTTGAAATCTGCTCCTATATATTAAAATATTTTTGAAAAGCAAGGGTGCCTTTTCAAAAATTATGCAATGTGTGTATCTAAGCTTAAGGGTCAGGGGTTGATGTGTGATGGGCATTACTGATTATTGCTGAATATTACTGATTACTTGAAATGCATTTGTTGTTCCCCTACCCTGCCTATGGGTATTAAGTAAACAAACTAAGCAACTGCTAAGTGTATTGTTATGATGATCAATGGTGCCTCTTTCAAAATTGTGAATAGCATAGCATCTGGTTTAAAACATGAATCAAATTCAATCACTGGAAAGTTGTTGCATAATGCTCAGGTGACCTATAAGGCCCGTGGGCCTCTTGTTGATGATAATTGTCCCAGAGGTTGATATAAAATTTCTCTTAAGTGAGTATAGCTTGGAAAGTCAAATTAATCTGATGACATTTAGAATTTTGTAAACACTTATCTTTTTTACCTTAGAATATTGTCTTATCGATGGACTATGTGTAAGAAATGGAGACAAAAATAGCATTATGGACTGTCAAGTATGCAACACAAGTGTAAATAAAACCATCTGGCAAGTAAAGAATGGTAAGGATATATATTTTCCATTACAGTTTCAAATTCAGATACATGTAGTACAACGTTATAAAATATATTCTTTAATTAATTTCCAGAAACACTCAGAATGAATTACAATTTTAAGTAAATATTTATATATTAAAATATTGTTTTGAACATGAAAGAAATGTTGCTTTTTTCAGATTTTTGTTTAATTGACGATACTTGTGTTGTGGATGGAGGTGCAAACTCAACATATCCCTGTCATTATTGTAATGTCTCGATAAATCCACGTATCTGGAGCCATAACCCAGGTAACATAAATTTGAAGTTGACTATTTCTGAAGGCTGAAAATGTATATGTTACTGTAAACCTTATCACTTAAAGGTATATTTCTTTCAAAATACCGTCTTTCATATCTTAAGTCACACAAACAATGATAAACTTTGTAAATTCTTAGATTTGAAAGATAAAATCTAAGGCTTATGTTAAAGTATCATTAGAATTCAATTTAAAAATCTGTGTAGTTCGTTTTGATGATAATTGCCCCAGAGGTTGATATAAAATTTCTCTTCAGTGAGTATAGCTTGGAAAGTCAAATTAATCTGATGACATTTAGAAATTTGTAAACACTTATCTTTTTTACCTTAGAATATTGTCTTATCGATGGACTATGTGTAAGAAATGGAGACAAAAATAACATTATGGACTGTCAAGTATGCAACACAAGTGTAAATAAAACCATCTGGCAAGTGAAAAATGGTAAGGATATATTTTTTTCCATTACAGTTTCAAATTCAGATACATGTAATAGAACTGGATAAAGTATATTCTTTCATAAATTTCCTGAAACACTAAGCATGCTTAGAAAGAAGTATAATTTTAAGTATTTTTTTAATATACAATATTGATTTAAACGTGAAAGAAATTGTTTTTACAGATTTTTGTTTAATTGACGACACTTGTGTTGTGGATGGAGGCGCTAACTCAACATATCCCTGTCATTATTGTAATGTTTCGATAAATCCACGTATCTGGAGCCACAACCCAGGTAACATAAATTTGAAGTTGACTATTTCAGAGGTCTGAAAATGTATGTGTTACTGTAAACTTTATCATTCAAAGATACATTTCTTTCAAATACTGTACAGTCTTTCATATCTAATCTCACAAACACTGGTAAACTTTATATATTCTTAGATTTGAAAGATAAAATCAAAGGCTTATGTTAGAGTATCATCAAAAGTCAATTTTGAAAGCCATGTAGTTGTTATTGATTACATTTGCGCCATACGCTGATCCAAAATTTCCATTTAGCGAGTATAGCTCGTCGAAACACATTATTCTTATGACATTTAGAATTTTTCAAATACTTCGCATTTTTACCTTAGAATATTGTCTCATCGATGGACTATGTGTAAGAAATGGAGACACAAATGCCATAATGGACTGTCAAGTATGCAACACAAGTGTAAATAAATCCAGCTGGCAAGTGAAGAATGGTAAGGTTATATATATTTTTTCCATTACATTTTAAATTCAGATACAAGTAATAGAATGTTATAAATATATTCTTTAATTTATTTCCTGAAACACTCAGAATGAATTATAATTTTAAGTTAATATTTATAAAATTTTGTTTTAAATATGAAAACAATGTTGCTTTTTTCAGATTTTTGTTTAATTGACGATACTTGTGTTGTGGATGGAGGTGCAAACTCAACTTATCCCTGTCATTATTGTAATGTCTCGATAAATCCACGCATCTGGAGCCATAACACAGGTAACATAAAGAACGAGGGCGCTTTTGATTGGCATTCGGCAGGAATCTTGGCGGAATTGAAAAGTAAAAATTTTATCGACGTGTCACATGAAATTTTAACATTTTTTTTTAATTCATCAGGTTGCTGTGCAATACACAAGGAAAATATTTTACGAAATTGAGCTTTGATTTGCAAAAAAAAAACCTTGAAAATTGGCAATATGAGACATTTGGTACAAAATGGCACATTTTTAAACACGTTTTTCTAAAATTTTTCTATCTCTGGGTCTTCTCTCAATAATTTTGAAACGTTATTTGTGTGTATTTTAATTCAAAGGAACGAATATACTTTTTTTAAAAAATGGAGAGAAGACCCAGAGACCACG